CATCGGCAGGCGGACTCTCAACCACTGCGCCACCAGGGAAGCCCTCATTGTGCATTTTTAAAGCTGGGTTTTAAATGACACTTCTCTGGAATCTGGGAGATAGATTCTGACTTTAAGGTCTTTTCCTTTTTTTTTTTTTTGATGTTTAATTTTTATTTATTTTGGCTGTGTGGGGTCTTAGTTGCGGCACGTGGGATCTTTGTTGCAGCGTTTGGACTTTTTAGTTGTGGCATGCTGACTCCTTAGTTGTGGCATGCCTGTGGGATCTAGTTCCCTGACCAGGGATCGAACCTGGGCCCCCTGCATTGGGAGCACAGAGTCTTACCCACTGGACCACCAGGGAAGTCCCCCTTAAGGTCTTTTCTATCCACTGTTTCTGTGATTCATCCTCCCCTCACTTCCTGCTCCCAGATGATTAGGAAGATGTACTTACAAGTAAAGGATAGGAAGATGTGGGTAGTATTGTCTCTTTAATGATTGGTTGTCATCATATTATAAGACTCAAGCTAAGGCTACTGAGGAGCAATACTTTCATACACCTTTAATTTATACTTCTTGAGGAACACCAGAAAATTACTACATGTTGTTTCCATCTCCAAAGTAGCATTTAGTAAATATATATGGTGGTGGGGTTTGTTTTTTTTTCTTGTTCCAATGTACGAGCAAACAAAACCACTTCTTTCTTTCTTTCCAAGTGAGAACCTGTTTGGTTTCTTATTAGCTGTGTGTGTGTTACTGTCTTCATTCTCACTTACCATGACTATCTGGATCTTTTGGAGAATATAACTTTTATACTTTTCTACTCTTGAAGGAAACTGGTGGTGACAAAAGAAAAGGAGAAGAAGGTGGGGCTGTATACAATCTATGTGAATCCTGCCAATACCCACCAGTTTGCAGTGGGTGGACGAGATCAGTTTGTAAGGTGAGTCTGTGGCTCTTTTGTGTCTTTGAGAGTTTGAGACTGTGATGTATTGTGTACTACCAGCTGTCCCTTATGGAAAGCTATGAATTGCCTAGGAGTTCATTAACCACCATCTTTAATTTTTTGCCATCTTCCAAAGAGTTTAAACTTCCTCTGACATATTCTGTTCCCTAATGTAGCAATCTCTGAGGGATGGCTTAACATGTTATAGATATTATCAAGTTCTAAAGAAGTTTGATGAATTGACCAAGTTCTCCACATAGCAGCTAGGCATAAACCCAGGTTTACTAGCAAGTGCTCTCTTAGTAAATATTTTCCACCATTTTTCATATGTAAATTAACACGTACTAGAAATTTTGAATGCTGGTTTCAGATACAGAAATAATTTGACTTGGGAGTACTCATTGTGAACTTCAGGTTTTTGGCTCCCGGTATCCTGAACCACTTTTCTTTATCTTTAGTGATATCTTTGTTACTATGAACATTTCTTGCAACACTGTCTATTGAGATATATCCTAAGGAAACAGAGTTCATGGATTCAGTCACCATGTGTAGCAGTTAGTTTCCTTCTGGCCCTTTGTCACAATTAATTGTCACAATTATATCCCATCCCTATCCAATTGGCCTATTTTTTTTTTTTAACATCTTTATTGGAGTATAATTGCTTTACAGTGTTGTGTTAGTTTCTGCTGTATAACAAAGTGAATCAGCTATATGCATACATATATCCCCGTATCCCCTCCCTCTTGCATCTCCCTTCCCTGCCCCATCCCACCCCTCTAGGTGGTTACAAAGCACCGAGCTGATCTCCCTGTGCTATGCGGCTGTTTCCCACTAGCTATCTATTTTACATTTGGTAGTGTGTATATGTCAGTGCCACTCTCTCACTTCGTCCCAGCTTACCCTTCCCCCTCCTCCCAGTGTCCTCAAGTCCATTCTCTACATCTACATCTTTATTCCTGTCCTGCCCCTAGGTTCATAAGAACCATTTTTTTGTTTTTTAGATTCCATATGTATGTGTAAGCATACGGTATTTGTTTTTCTCTTCCTGACTTACTTCACTCTGTATGACAGACTCTAGGTCCATCCACCTCACTACAAATAACTCAATTTAGTTTCTTTTTGTGGCTGAATAATATTCCGTTGTATATATGTGCCACATCTTCTTTATCCTTTAATCTGTTGATTCCATGTCCTGGCTATTGTAAACAGTGCTGCAGTGAACATTGTGGTACATGACTCTTTTTGAATTATGGTTTTCTCAGGGTATATGCCCAGTAGTGGGATTGCTGGGTCGTATGGTAGTTCTATTTGTAGTTTTTTAAGGAACCTCCATACTGTTCTCCATAGTGGCTGTATCAATTTACATTCCCACCAACAGTGCAAGAGGGTTCCCTTTTCTCCATGCCCTCTCCAGCATTTATTGTTTGTAGATTTTTTGATGATGCAATTGGCCTATTTTTAAGTATATTTCTTTGGTTGCCAAGAGATCATCAGTTTGAAAGGGAGGAAGGAAAGCATCACTAGAAGAATGAATGACTTTATGCTTTCCTGGTGGTGGATGAAAAGCATTATTTTCCTTTTTATTTATTTATTTATAAATTTATTTATTTTATTTATTTCTGGCTTCATTGGGTCTTTGTTGCTGCACGCGGGCTCTCTCTATTTGCAGAGAGCAGGGGCTACTCTTTGTTTTGGTGCGTGTGCTTCTCATTGCAGTGGCTTCTCTTGTTGGGGAGGACAGGCTCTAGGCATGCGGGCTTCAGTAGTTGTGGCTTGCGGGCTCTAGAGCGCAGGCTCAGTAGTCGTGGCGCACAGGCTTAGTTGCTCTGCAGCATGTGGGATCTTCCCAGACCAGGGCTCGAACCCGTGTCCCCTGCATTGGCAGGCAGATTCTTAACCACTGTGCCACCAGGGAAGTCCCATCTTCCTTTTTAAATAAGAGGATATTTTTATAACTGTATTCTGTAATTAATTTTATTAATAATCACAGGGATGGGACTAAATTTTTAGAAATAGCTGAGAGATGATCTTAACTTGTTGAAGAATCCTGCCACAAGAGAACTGGGCAACTTTGTTGCTCTCTTCTTCTTCCCCTGTTTCCCTTGCCTTCTAAATTCCTTTCCTCTATTGACCAATAGCAAATGTTTAGCAGTAGTTTTTTTTTTAAGATAAGCTGTTGATCTAAAAAGGGGTTGTAGTTGTCAGAACTTTCAGGTGCTACCTCCTCCAAATCAAGCATTTACTGAATTTTTAAATTTGCATTTCCTGCTTAGAGCTCTGGATTCATGGAAAAGTCTGTGTCTCTAGATAATTCAACCACTAGGACCTTGATGTTTGGAGGAGAGTGGAGGCATTGGCTGTATTGAGAACTGCAATTGATAACGCTTTTATCCAGAGCTAATACTTTCTCAGGGTGAGAGTGGGGCTGGAAATTAGTTTTAGCATTTCATCACAAGGAGGAATACTCAGATCGTCTATTTATTATCAGCCTCAATATCCTTTATCCCTTTGTACATGCCAAATTCTCAGCATGTAATAGGCTGTTTACATGACAAAAGCATGTGTATATTTTGAGGCACACTGATCGCCTATGAGCAGATGGCCCTTCCACACCCTAGCTCTTCTCTGATCATCCTCAATTTCTCTGGCACCTCTTCAGTTCAGCCAGTTGAATGTTTTGGAATTCCTCTTTTCTGTTTCTTTCTTTGAAAGAACTTTAGGCTCACCTGCCAGTACAAATTTGAAAATACTTTTGCTGAATATTTTATATCATAACACCATTAGCTTTCACTAGCTTGAAGGAATTCCTTTAGGGGAATACAGAGAAATAGCTTACTCATCCTCAAGGCTTTCACATCATAAATACTGAATTTTAGTTTAGGATTGTGAAGGAGCATTTAAGAGAGTCATGCTTTTTGGAATATGACCAAAAAGGGGGGATGGGCAGGGAGAAAGAAAAAAGGTAGGCAAATGGAGGGTGGTATAGATTTGAGTTTCTGCCACTAAATCCTTTTTGGGTTAGTTTAAGAATTTACAGGAGTGAAGAAAAGGAGAATGTATCAGGTGAATGAATCCTGTGATAGATTTGGCAGTGTGATTGGTTGACATGTAAATTTATTGCTAAAGGATTTGGTATAGGCCCTGGTTTATAAAACACAGTCAATAAATAGTCACTTTGCTCCCCTATCTTTATCAGCAACATTGAGAGAACACTAGATTAAAGGCAAGTTCGGGGAAGAGGAGGTGAGGAGGGAAGAGAGAGGCTTAAGGTAACAAATTCGTGGGCACCTGGAGGCCTGTGGAGAGAAGTGCAGTAAGGGTGTTCAGACAGTGGTGAAACCATTCTTTATTTGATTTAAAATGTCCAGGGTATAGGAAGACTCAATAACGTGGAGATGTCAGTTCTTCCCAACTTGATCTATTGATTCAGTGCAATCCCAATCAAAATTCCAGCAAGTTATTTTATGGATATCGACAAACTGATTCTTAAAGTTTGTGTGGAGAGACAAAAGATCCAGGATATCCAACACAGTATTGAGAGAGAAGAACAAAGCTGGAAGCCTGATACTGCCCAACTTCAAGACCTATCAGTACTCTAAAGCTACAGTAATTCAGACAGCATTGTATTGGTGAAATAGACAAATAGATCAAAAGAACAGAATAGAGAGGCCAGAAATCGACCCCCATAAATACAGTCAAGTTATCTTTGATAAGGAAGCAAAGGCAACAAATGGAGAAAAGATAGTCTCTTCAATATATGGTGCTGAAAGAACTGGACATCCACATGTAAAAACTGAATCTAGACATAGACCTTACACAGTTCACAAAAGTTAACTTAAAATGGATAATAGACCTGAAAGTAAAGCCCAAAACTATAAAACTCTGGAAGATAACATCGGAGAAAACCTAGAAGACCTTGGGTATGGTGATGCCTTTTAATTTTTTTATTATTATTATTTTTTTAATTTATTTAATTTATTTATTTTTGGCTGTGTTGGGTCTTCGTTGTGGTGCGTGGGCTTCTCATTGCAGTGACTTCTCTTGTGGAGCACGGGCTCTAGGTGTGTGGGCTTCAGTAGTTGTGGCACGCAGGCTCAGTAGTTGTGGCTCGTGGGCTCTAGAGCACAGGCTCAGTAGTTGGGGCACATGGGCTTAGTTGCTCCATGGCATGTGGGATCTTCCCGGACCAGGGATTGAACCCGTGTCCCCTGCATTGGCAGGCGGATTCTTAACCCCTGGGCCACCAGGAAAGTCCCTCGGTGATGCCTTTTTAGATACAACATCAAAGACATCCATGAAAGAAGTAATTGATAGGTTAGACTTCATTAAAATTAAAAACTTCTGCTCTGTGAAAGACACTATCTTTCAAGAGAATTAGAAGATAAGCCACAGACTGGGAGAAAATGCTTGCAAAAGGCACATCTGATGAGGGACTGTTATGCAAAATATACAAAGAACTCTTAAAACTCAACAACAAGAAAACAACCCAATTAAAAAGTGAGCCAAAGACCTTAACAGACACCTCACTGAAGAAGATACACAGACAAGTGTATGAAAAGATGATCCACATTATATGTCATCAGGAAAATGCATATTAAAACAACAGTGAGATACCACTACACATCTATTAGAGTGGCTAAAATCCAGGACACTGACAGCACGAAATGCTGGTGAGTACTGTGGAGCAACAGGAACTTTTATACATTGCTAGTGGGAGTGCAAAGTGATACAGCCGCTTTAGAAGACAGTTTGACGGTTTCTCCAAAACTACACACTGGTACCATACAATCCAGCAGTCAGGCTTCTTGGTATTTACTCAAAGGAGTTGAAAAGTTATGTCCACACAGAAACCTGTACGTGGATGTTTATAGCAGCTTTATTCATAACTGCCAAAACTTGGAAGCAACCGAGGTGTTCTTCAGTATGTGAATGGATAAATAAATGGTGGTATATCCAGACAATGGAATATTATTCATCACTAAAAAGAAAAGAGCTATCAAGTCATGAATAGACATGGAGGAACCTTAAATGCATATTACTAAGTGAAAAAAAAAGCCAATCAGCCAATCTGGAAAGGCTACATACTGTATGATTCCAACAGTGTGACATTCTGGAAAAGGCAAAACTGTGGAAATAAGAAAAAGGTCAGTGGTAGCCAGGGGTGGGGTGGGGCAAGAGAGATGAGTAGGCAGAGGACAGAGGATTTTTAGGGCAATGAAAGTACTCTATGATATTATAATGATGGATATACGTCATTATACATTTGTCCAAACTTGTAGAATGTACAAGAGTGAACCCTCAGGTGAACTATAGACTTTGAGTGATTATCATGTCAGTGTAGGTTCCTCCTTGGTTTAAAAAAAAAAAAAACTACTGTTTTGATGAGTGATTTTGATAATGGGAGGGGCTATACATGTGTGGGGGTAGGGAGTGTATGAAAAACCTCTATACTGCCCTCTCAGTTTTGTTGTAAACCTAAAACTGCTTTAAGAAAATAGTCTTAAAAATGTAAAAAAAAAAAATTTTTTTCAACGTCAAGGTCCTGTCCTATGCGCAGATAATAGGGGAATTTTTTTTGTATTTATCTTTGTATCACCACTGTCTAGCACAGGGCTTGGCAGTCTACACTGTGTTTGTAAATAAAGTTTCATTAGAATACAGCCATAGCCATTTGTTTACATATATCCATGGCATGCTACAGTGGCAGAGTTTGGAAACTGTGACAGAGATTGGATGGCCTGCCAGCTTAAAATATTTACTGCCTTGCCATTTAAGAAAATGTTTGGGGCTTCCCTGGTGGCACAGTGGTTAAGAATCCACCTGCCATTGCAGGGGACACGGGTTCGAGCCCTAGTCCAGGAAGATCCCACATGACACAGAGCAGCTAAGCCTGTGCACCACAACTACTGAAGCCTGTGTGCCCAGAGCCCATGCTGCCCAACAAGAGAGGCCACCACAATGAGAAGCCCACGCACCGCAACGAAGAGTAGCCCCCACTCGCTGCAACTAGAGAAAGCCCATGCGCAGCAACGAACACCCAACACAGCCAAAAATTAAATAAAATAAATAAAATTTTAAAAAAAGTTTGCTAACCCCTAGTCTCAAGCATCATATCTAGAATATAGTAGGTTCTTAATAAATACTTATGGAAGAAAGGGGAGGAGGGTAGGTAAGGATTTCCTCATAAAGAAGAGCACTGGATACAGAGGAACACGGAATGGTCCATACAACAAGATACTGAATATTTAAAATTTTTTACGAATTTGATGACTTGGGAAGATAATGATGTCTTAGTGACATTTGAGAGCTGTTGATTTAGACTTAGTTTAGAGGGAAAATAATCTGATTATCAGCTGCTGTATTTGCTGAAGAGTAGTAATTGGTAGTACAGCAGTCTCCTATTTGTCTTCTTTTTTTATTGGTTCATTTAAAAAACATTTCCTGGATAGTCTGTTGATGCAAGGTATTAATGGATTATGGAGAATACTTAATTCGTTCGTTTATTCATCCAGCATTTACTGAGCACTTGTTGTGTGCTAGGTACACACTTGACTAGAAGTAGTTTCTGCCTTCAAGGAGAATTTGGGAGAAGCAGATATATATAGGGATTAAAAATATTAAGTAACTTACCCAGTATTGCTCATCTGGTAAGTAGCATAGTATCTGAACTCAGTTCAGATGCCTTAAATATGGTGGAAACCATTTCACTATGCTGTTCTTTCTCACAGAGGAAATATTAAAGACAAATGGGAAGTATTTCAGGTAGAGGGAACAATATGTGTAGAATTAGGATAACAAGATGTGAGATGGTATGTTCAAGGAAGCATAGTTTTTTTGTTTTCTGTATAATGCATAGGATCTTTGAGAAGTGATAGGCAGCCATACTAAGTAGTCTGGGCTTTATTTAGTAGAAAGTACAAAATCACTGAAGAGATTTAAGCAGGGAATTTACATTAAATTTTTCATTTTAGACATAATTCTGGTGACAGTATGAGCAAAGAAATCAGAAGGTTACTATAAATAATGTAGGCAAAAAATGCCTAAGGGTGGAGAAAGCAGATATAGTCAAGAAATATACCCAGGAAGTCAAATCGATAGGAAAGAAACTAGATACATCGAGAAAGGACCTGATTTCTTGTTTGGCCACCTGAATTTAAGATGGTGCCATTAACAAAGATTTGGGGGAAAGGGTAGGTCTAGAATGATCTTAGCTTAAAAAGGAGAATGATTTTACTTTTGGACATTCCATTACAACATTCACTTGGCATGTGGATATAAATCTAGAGCTCACTCAGAACAAGTGTGGGCTGGAGACACAGATTTAAGAGACATATCCACATATAGGTGGTAAAGTGTTAATGGAATTTGATTACCAAAAGAAAGTATAGAGCAGAATTCTTCCTCCCTTTTGAGTCTCTAGCCTCTTTGAGAATATAAGAACCATGATCCTTTCTCCCAGGAAGAATACACATAAGCACAGTTTCTGGGCATTCACATATACTTGAACTCTAGGTTTTAAAATTTTCTTATGTAGAATCAGAGGAGAACTTAAGACCAGACCTTTGAGGAACATCAGCATTTAAGGGGTAGACAAAAGACAAGCCCATGAACAATATTAAAGGGTGGTTGGAAATCAAGGGAAAAAAAAAAGTGTTTCAGGGAAGGAGTAATGAACAATGTCAAGACAAGAGAGAAAGACCTAAAAAAGTATCTTGGTGGTATTGGCAGTTAGGTTACTGATGACTTTAGCCAGAGAAACTTCAGTAGTGAGTTGAAGGCCAAAGCTAGATTAGAATGGAACGAGAAATGAATAGGAGGTGAGGGAGTGAAAATGTTGAATGCAGATTGCTCTTTTCGGTAATTCTACTACAGGGGGAAGGACAGGAAAAGCCAGAGTAGGAAAGGTCAGTGGAAGGATTTTAAGAAATGGGCAGACAATGGTGAGGAAGAGGACTAATCAGTGAGAAATGGACTAATCAATCAAACAAGGTCCTTGGAGGGATGAGATTAAGAGCAGCTGTGGAGGGATGAGACTGAGATTGGAGGAGACTGATGGGTGAAGACAGGGACTAGATCTGTCTTGTTCCTCACTATATTTCTGGCACCTGGCATAGTACTTGGCACCTAATCCATGTGTCATAAATAGTTGCACAAATGATTAAAGTTTGGATTGGAAAGATGAGGAAGGCGAAGGTAGTTTGATGCTTGATGAGAATGAAGGAAGGAGAGAGTGAGTCTTGAGATATAGGTGTTGGTTTGTAATAGTTTTGGGAAGAAATAGCCAAATAAAATTTCAAAAAGGGATTCAAGACCCACTGACTTACATAAAGCATGGTCTCTGCCCATGAGTAATAAACCGTATTGGGGAGGCAACATGCATGCAAAAGGCTCTATAATAATGTTATTTCAGTGCAGATAAACAGTAAATGATATAAAAGCTGAGAGAAGAAATAAGCCACTTCAAAATAATATAATTTAGAATTACTACTTGAAATGAGAAGTACCTGGATAAGAGTTTTGGTTTGGAAGAGGAGTGGGAGAAGATTTTTGAGGAAGAACCTGAGCCAGAAGCCTAATTGGGGAATGTCCTTTATCTGTCCCGACATCCAGCTGACTGGTGTTCCTGCCACTACATCGAATTGCAGCTCTTCAAGGGATGTTTGTAAATTTTGACATTTTCATTGCTTCTTCCACCGTAGGATTTATGACCAGAGGAAAATTGATGAGAATGAAAACAATGGAGTACTCAAGAAATTCTGCCCTCATCACCTGGTAAGATTCATGAAGGGCCAGTGGCTCCAGGCTTCCCTGACTCAACCCCAAGCCTGCCCCCAAACTTGTTGGTATGGTGGGAAGAGCTTGGACTTTGGAGTCAGACACCTGGATTTTGAATCCTGGCTCTACCACTTACCAGTTTTGTGATCTTGGGCAGTCACCTTACCTCTGTTAGCCTCAGTTTTCTTATTGACAAAATAGAGGTACAGATAACTGCCTTGTACCATGATGGTAAGGCCTAATGAGATAATGTATATATGAAATGGCTAGCACACAGAAGACAACCAGTAGAAAGACCTCTCCCCCCGAGGTGGTCAAGTTTCATCAGTTGTATTTCTGTCTCTATCTCTCTGTCTATCTTCCTCTCTCTCCCTCTCCCTCTCTCTCTCTCTTTCTCTCTCTCTGTCTCTATCTCTGTCTGTCTATCTCTGGGAGAGGATATAGGGGAGTTTGAAGGAAAACCTGTTTCCTGAAGGTGGTATAACAAATGGGGGGGTGGGGCATCAGTCAGTATCTGCTCCTTATTGCAGGTGAACAGTGAGTCCAAAGCAAACATCACCTGTCTTGTGTACAGCCACGACGGCACAGGTACGTGAGCAGGGCCCAGCTCCTAGGCTGGCATGCCCCCTCTGTCTAGGGAGCTGCTGAGCCAGTGAGGCATGTGCCCTCCAGTGCTCACCACTGTGCTATAGCTCCGAGTGGAGCAGCTGGGGAGTAGTTGCTGATGGTGAGCACACAGTGGGAGGATGCAGCAGATGACCCTTGGAGATGCCAGGAACTTGCAGAATGCTGCAGATGATATTTGGCAGGGCTTTTCCTAAAGCCCAGGCTATTTGGTTGAGCAGGTTCTTATGCCTTTGACTCATTCCTGAATTAATGGGTATGATCTTCCTGGGCATTCTGCTACCCCTGGGTTGGCAGCGTGTTCCTAGTCTACCCTAGACACCTGAAGTGCCTGCTGTTCCAACTGAGTAAGATGGGTGCTATACCTGGGTATTAGGAGGGGGCACTACTGGCAAGAAGCCCCACCCCAACCCCCAACTCCTGGTCCTAGCTTTTTTCAGCCTTTGCCTTCACTGCTGTGTGCTTGTTCTTGGCAGAGCTCCTGGCCAGTTACAATGATGAAGACATTTACCTCTTCAACTCCTCTCACAGTGATGGGGCCCAGTATATTAAGAGATATAAGGGCCACAGAAATAACGCCACAGGTGAGACTGTCTTTCTAGGTTTCTGTACCCTAAGTCTGTTGGTTTGAAGAACCACAGTATCTCATGCAGGTTGTGCAAATAAGAACTACCTAAAGGAGTAGGCCATCTGTCACCAAGTGACAACAAGCCTAATTGGGCTGGAGTTTTCATAGGCCCTCCTGTGCTAGAGGAGAGAGGGCTCAGGAGCATCTCTCACCACTACAGTGATGTTACTTGGTCTGGGTGTAAGGAGACTCACTGACTAGTTTTTTTATTTTTTGCGGTATGCGGGCCTCTCACTGTTGTGGCCTCTCCCATTGCGGAGCACAGGCTCCGGACACGCAGGCTCAGCGGCCATGGCTCACAGGCCCAGCAGCTCCACGGCATGTGGGATCTTCCCGGACCGGGGCACGAACCCGTGTCCCCCGCATCAGCAGGCGGACTCTCAACCACTGCGCCACCAGGGAAGCCCCTGACTATATTTTTCTTGTGATTTCAGGTAGCTTCAGGATTAAAAGACTTATTAGGGAGTTTGGGAAAGCCCTCCTTAGTTAGTGGTACTGAATGGCTTAAAATAGGGGGGTGAGCTTGTTCTTACAGGGAAGAGGAGGGAATAATTCTTTTGAATGAGGCAGAAGAGGAGAAATGGTGATAGCACCTCACCCAAGTTTGCAGTGACGATTGGCCTTTTTTGTTCTGTCTGTGGTTCCCAAACTTTGCTGTACAATGAAGTCACCTGACAATCTTTTAAAGATACTGAAGCCTGGCTTCCATACCCGTCCATTCTGACTTAATTGGTATGGGGTGCACGTTGATTAGGATTTTTAAAAAGCTCCCTTTGATTCTAATGTACAGAGAAGTTGGAATCACTGCTCTTTGTTGTTATTACTGCTCCTATCAGATGTCTGTCATAATGTTGACTGGGGAGAGCATTCCTTTTTTCTCTTGAGCTGGTGAGAGGAGAGGGAAAAACCTGTACTTGGATCTTAGTCCTTGGGCATACAGAAGGAAGTATTCCAGTCTCATGATTGGTATGGAACTGGACGTAGCAGTTGGGACTCCTGGTTTCTCTTACTAATTTCAGGGGGTGGAACCCTGTTGTTCAGAGTCTTGGTAACACGCACAGTTCAGGTGCTTCTTATAGGCAATTGTGGCATATACCTTCATCAGTCTTAGGTCACCTAATGACCCAGGAAGCATTGACAAGGTACCAGTGAAGCACACATACCAAAGATAATCCTAGGGCATAGGACAGTGCTGCCTAGGAGTGGGCAGAGCTGGGGCCATTCAGGTTGGGACAGGTGAGGCGTTAGTGAGGCCTATGGTTGCTCTGTAGGGTGCAAACTAATGAGACTGAGGCTGTTGCTAAGGACTGCAAACTCCTCAGCTCTATGGACCTCTTTAGGAGAATATAAATAGTCTCTGGAACTGCTGTGATTCTTATTCTATTATACATGCATAATCCCTTGACTTGTTTTGTGAAAGTGAAAGAAATTCTTTGGCTCTTAGCTGGTTTAGATTTGTGAATAACTAAATTTTCTGTGAGGTAAATATATGTTGGCCTGATGCCAACTCTCATGTGGTTCATTCCTTCATTTGTCATTTCAGTAAAAGGCGTCAATTTCTATGGCCCCAAGAGTGAGTTTGTGGTGAGCGGTAGTGACTGCGGGCACATCTTCCTCTGGGAGAAATCATCCTGCCAGATCATTCAGTTCATGGAGGGGGACAAGGGAGGCGTGGTGAGTATGGTGTGCTGGGCTGGCTGGCTCTCTGCTCTCTCCAGTCATTAAGGTAGGCTTTAGCAGGGCCACTGAATTCTCACTCTTGACAATGTAATACCACGTCTTAGAGGTCTAGCCAGCTAAATAAAAAGACAGTATAGTCTGGGGGTGCTGAGGTTTTAATGGAATATTTTCTTCCCTTTCCTGTCTTCTGCCCCTCTACAGCACGGTTTATTAAGAGGAGAAAGGGATTTTAGGGAAGAACCTCTGGCCTGAGTGAGGTATCTTTAGGCATGGACCTTTTCCAAAACAAAAGCATTAGCGTTCAGGGCACACCATCCTACACACTGTAGTAAGTAGTTAGCTGAGTAGTGATCTTGAATAGATACTGGATTAGCGGATACAAGCTAGAAGGAGCATTTTTTCTGATAGTTGGGAAAATCAGAATATGGTCTGTATATTGATACAAACACACATAATATATATGCATATATAGGGAGAGAGAAACATGCTCACCCCCATGACCATTTTTGTTGTTGTTGTTTGACTGCTATACAACCCATGATCATATCAGTCTGCCTGTCCTTTGAGTTCTGCAGACAGCCTCCATAGAGATAGGGCAAAAAGGAAGCCTGAGGATTGTGAGTTGGGGAGTGAAAGGTGGTCAGCTCTTAGGATGTATCTAGCTAACCATAAGTTTTTTTTTTTTCTTTTTTGAGACCTAGAGTCAAGAAGGATTCAGTAGCTTTCTATTACAAGGTTTTCAGACTGCAGAAGATAAGAAGCAGTTTGGGCAACTGCATTTTACTGACTACCCAAGATAGTCTTGTTAAGAGCTTCTAAGGGATGGCTGAGATGCTTATTCTTTCTTCCTTTTCATTCCTCTTAAGCTGTGGGGAGCTACAAAGAACCCAGCCATCTCTTGAGGTTTATCCAGAGTGGTTTTAGAGTTTAGAATGGTTCATTGCAGTTGGGATCCTATTTCTTCTTGTGTGTCTCTTATCCTGGCGTGAGGCTATTTCAGACTTTCTTCTGGTTTCCTCTAAATTTTGGGGACCTGGGACCAGTATAGACCCTAAGCTTCTGTGGCTTGAATATAAGTGGAGAAGAGTCTAGAACTTGAAGGTGTGTCTCACTGTTGCCTGCTTCATTTCCTACTTTTCCATAGGTCTTCTATCATCTGTAGTGAACAAACCCAAAACACTGGAGTCTTAATGAGAATTCTGCAGTAGGCATGTAGTCATAAGAAAGTCAAAAGGGGCCAGTGAATCTTTTATTGATCATAAACTATTGTCTTGCATTCCATTCTAGAGAGATTCAGGGCTGGATGCCCTCCCCCAGGCCAGCACTTGTCTGTGGTCCAGAATCACTCTACAGGCCAATCTCCTTTCAGCTTAGCCAGTGTCAGGGTTTGATGATTAATCCAGGTGCCCGGGTTGGGAGGGCATTTGCGTAGGATGGGTGGGCCCCAGGCCTGAGTTTTAGTGGTCATAAGAGTGAGGTACTAGAACAAGAGGTATAAAGACTGCACCCTGCAGCAAGATTCCTGGCTTGTTCTTGCCTCTGTGTAAGCTGAATGATCTATGTGGTCCTCACTTGGCTCCTTCTGATTTTTTGTGCTAACCTCCCAGCAGTGGGGTCACCAGTGCCAGCCTGAATGCAGACTATATCATTAAGTAGACTATTAGAACCAGAAGGGATCTTTGAAATTCTCATCCACCTTGCCCAGGTATCTCAATTCTGTTTTTGGCTCAAACTCTAGTCCTTTCATTGTTTGCATTCGGGGCAAGGGTGGGGGATGATGTCAAAGGACAACCCTTAGTCTCCCAAAAGCACTTTGCTCCTTTATCCCATCACCTGCATCCCTCAGCCCAGTCGTCTAAGGCCAGAGCTCTTTCCTCTGCTCAGGCATTACTGACAGGATAAGTCCTGGCATGCAGACAGGTCGGGTGAAGTGACCAGGTATTCTGGCCCAGAAGCTCTCTGTTGGCTTCTCCTGCAAGCTCCAACTCAGGTACTATATGTAACTTACTCTCTTGCCATTGGCTTTGTCCTTAGTCTTAAGTTCCAAGGAATTTCTCCCCTGTGCCTTTTTATTTTGCTGACTTGTCAAGCACAGCTAGGTCAGAGTTTAGAAGGGTAGCAAGGGCTTATCTGGAGATGGATGAACGAGTTCAAGTTTGTATGTGTTGAGTTGTCACATATCTTTTGATAATATTTTCTGGCAGTGGAGTTTTTCTCTCTAGTGCCACCTCTGCTCCAGATGCTGGAACCTCTTCCACACTGCCTAAAAGAGCCCAAATATAAACTTTGTAATGAGCTGATATGTGGAATAAAAGAAGAAAGAAGGGAAATGTGGTTTCTGCTTTACTCTTAGATTCAGACTTAACTTCATTGTTTTCTGAGAATTTATTTGTAAAATGGAAGATAAAGAAGATTGGAAGTCTGTATGTCAGTTTTATTTTCCATGCTGACCCTGGCTTCCCATCAGCTGCTCTCTGCATGTGCAGGCAAGGCAGAGAAGGTTGGTCCAGAGAGAACTAAGAAGCTGTTTGCCAGGGGTTGTTTCCTTGGACTGTACTGCAGCTGCAAGACGGGGTGGGGTGGGGTGAGGTGAGGAGTAGCTAGGACCACACCTTCTTCCTTCTGGATGCTTTTGCCATCTATTCCTCATCTGACTAAAAGCCCAAAAATGCTTTAGCAGCTAGATCTGGGACCAGCTCTTCCGGTGGGGGTGGTAGCTGCCCTGCTCTGCCAGGAAGGCTGATGTTTCCAAGTCAGACAGCAGGGGGCATGGGTGCCTTTGGAAAGAAGGAGGCTGCCTAAGCCAGAGGCCTTTGCCTCGGCTGCTGTAGTACATTCCTCCTGCTCAGTGAATATATCCAGAGGGTGGCTGAGCTTGAGGCTGTGGGTGCCCAAGGAAGCTGCCTCACTGTACCGTGCTGTCCTATAGCTGAGCCTGTTGTGCTTTCATGGCAGGCAGCAGAATGCTGTCTCCTGGGGTGTGCAGGGTTCTCAAGCAGATATGTGCCTCCACTACCCTACTACTCTTCAGGCTCAGCCTCTTCCCAGCCTATGCCTTCTTCCAGTTCTTGTAAACAGTGGAATGTAATTGTTCTCTGAGTCTTCTCTGGGGGCTCAGCAGCAGCTGCTGCTTTCTTCATTTTTAAAAATGTATTTGCCACTTGGTGAAAGCCACTGAGATGTTTTTTTCCAGACTGGGGGAAGTTGGAGCTTTGGAAGCTGGAGAGAATGAGGTCATCTGAACCTCACTGCCTTTTTGTGAAGCCAGCAGTATGCTTGGCCAGTCACCCACCCACCCCTAGAGCTATATCTGAGGATGAGGCCACCCCTGCCTAAACCTAGGAAGTGAGAGATAGGCCTGGTCTTATATCCAGTCTGTGTCCAGTGTTTCTTTCACCCTGAGGGCCCTTTAGCCTAGGCTTATAATGGGTGGGCCTGTCTTCCCAGCAGCTGCCTTAACTTTTATCAAGGACAGTTGTTTGGTTCAAGGTGAGTAGTGGTTTTTAAACCGTATTGCCACATACCCCTGAGCCTATGTTTTCCTTTACTCCTGACCAGGTAAACTGTCTTGAGCCCCACCCTCACCTGCCTGTGCTGGCAACCAGTGGCCTAGACCATGATGTCAAGATCTGGGCACCCACAGCTGAAACTTCAACTGAACTTACAGGGTTAAAGGATGTAAGTAGCTGACTATAGATTTCTTCTTTCTGCTTATCCACATACTGTTAGAGGAGTTTTCATTGTCATAGGAAGGAATAACTTGCTGTACAGTTCTTTAAAGGTACTGCTCTAACACCCTCCCCCACATTCCAATCATTGCCTCTCTAGGAACAGTCCCAGTCCAGGGGTCCAGGGTGCAGCTTTGAAGTGCATCTAGTTCATGGTAGAGGGGACATCTTTAGGAAGAATCATCCATCTTCTCAGTGGATGAACCTGGGGCATCCTTTCTTAATCGAATCTAGGTATACTCCGGCTCAGTAGTTTCTAAGGGAAGATTTTACTGGGATAGAACACCAGCCTTTTCTGATCAGGTCCAGGGTTCCTATTCATTACCCACTTCCCCAAACCTTTTTGGTTCCAGGTGATTAAGAAGAACAAGCGGGAACGGGATGAAGATAGCTTACACCACACCGACCTGTTTGATAGCCACATGCTCTGGTTCCTCATGCATCACCTGAGACAAAGACGCCATCACCGGGTAAGCTGGAGTGGGAAGTGAGCTTCTAAGGGCTGTGACCCTCTCAAGAGGATAAAATGTTCCAGGGCATACTCCTCGCTGCTTTGGGAGGAATCAGGTGGAGTTAGTTGGGTTTCCTATCCATTATTCCCCATCCCCATCAGAGCTTTGATGTAGCCTTGGAAGAGCCACTAGCAGAAATAGGTGGTGTCTGCTTTGTGTTCTCCATCACCACACATGCACAGGGCTGTCTTCAAAAAGGCAAAGGCATGAGGGTGGGGAAGGAGTTGAGAAGAAATAAGTTGTCTCAGGTGTCTTCTGTTTTTTCTCTTGTGACACAAGAGGCCTAGGGCAGGGGTTAGCAAACTGTGGCAGTTTGGGCAAGTGCCTGCTTTTTGTAAATAAAGTTTTATTAGACTATAGCCACACCCATTCATTTATGTGTTGTCTGGCTGCTTTCATGCTACAACAGCAGAGTTGAATAGTTGTGACAGATAACGGCCCATGAGTCTAAAATATTTACCGTCTGGCCCTTTAAGAAAAATTCTGCCGACCCCTGCCTAGAGCATGTAAATTATAGCTAAGACCTAACAGGCTTGTCCTTGTTCCAGGGAAATTACTAATAAGCCTTTCCCATCCTACAGCGCTGGCGAGAACCTGGGGTTGGGGCCACAGACGCAGACTCGGATGAGTCTCCCAGCTCCTCAGATACATCGGACGAGGAGGAGGGCCCTGACCGGGTGCAGTGCATGCCATCCTGAGGCCTCGTACCCAGGAGGGGCAGGCTGGGGCTGCCAACCCGATCCTGCCTGGGCAGCCCTTTCCTGTCCCAGGCTCTAACATTCAGCAGAAACGCACTTTGGACTTTTTTGCTTTAGATTAAAAAAAAAAAGAAAAGAAAAAGAAAAAAAAAAAAGACATCCCAGGAGGACAAGCCAGAGGGGAGCAAACCTACAGAGCATCTAGAAGTGGGAATTGAGCCCTGGGATGGGGTTCCATGGAGAGGTGCATAGGACTCGGCAGAAATGGCCTCTCCCCAAAGCCTTTTTTTGGGAGGGGGGGAGCCTATTTTGTTAACTGATTTGGGGTAGGGAATGGGGTTTCCTTTTCTTTGATCTCCCTTGTTTCTTGGGTGGGGGGTGGGGGGATAACTGGCTGTTCAGTACCAAGGGGCCAGACTGGGGGTGGTAGAAATGCCACTCTCTCTTTGGTTTAGGTTTTTGACTTTATTTTCTTTATTTTTTAAAATTCTATGACAGTTGCATTGTTTTTTCTTCCTCTTGAGCAACCAACCCCATCCCAGGATCCTGTTTTTCTGGGGAGTCCTTAGAGCCCCTAACCATCCCACACTCTTCACTTCCTTTTCCACCCCATTCATTCTCTGTACTTATCACAGTGTTTTGCACTTGATTATGTATCCTTCACTCTCTGCTCTTCATCCCATCACCCCCTCAGTAGGTCTGGTGAGGGAGGTTGGGGGGAGGTGGGAGGAGGGACAGAAGTGGAAGAATAGGAAGGTGGTTACCTCTTCTGTTACTTAAAAAAAAAAAAAAAAGTTGTTTGGTGGCAGCAATCTCCCTGTCCCTATCACTGTTAGAGGCCTAATTTTATATCTATAAATATATTAAAAAGCAAGTCAAAATTGGATGTATCATGTTAAAATTATTGTTGAAGTTTAAATACCTATATATTCTCTATGACTGCAATAAAGGGACTTACAGGAGAGAGTGAGTGAGAGTAATGATGTGGAGGTATCACCTGGGGTCAGCCTACCCTCTATGCACGGCTACTGGAGATTAGGGCTTAACCCTTATGTTTTAGGAGGCTCAAGAATGGAAGGATCCTGAATTCTGCCCTTTCTGCTTTCCTACCATGGTTTCAGAGTTGGGAAGCCCCTTTCATCTCTTTGCTACAGATATCCTACCTCTGCTTAAGTCTTGTGGGGGTTCCCAGGATGGCTCTGCTAACCAGAGACTGGCTCATCTTCAAAACTTGACTGAACTGTGACTTCAGGAAGGGTTCTGCCACTGCAGACCATCTCTCCTAATACTGTGTGTGACAGAAGTCACACTCACTCTTACCTTTAGCTGCTTGATTCTTTAAACTATCCAACTCCACACCAACTCCCTTCCTAATGGAAGAGTATAGGGAAAGCCTTTTCCTACCTTGGGATTGAAGGACAAGTCATTAATCTAAGGATTGAGTAAGGTGGCTGGGGCTCAGACACCTATCGTATCACTGGTCATTAATTATCAAAGTCCCAGTTGCATTCTTGCCCTTAAATGCTTCTGTTGCTATTTCTTTGCCCCCAACGAGGAATTCTGCATCCTGGGACAGTCAGATTCTACTAGAACAGGCCAGGAAGGAAGGGAGGAGCGAAAGGGTGGAATTCCCAGATACTCCTTCCTCCTAGCCCCTTTTCCTAGCAGCTCTCAGACCAGATGTTAGCTGCTGTACTTCCTCCCTGAGGTAGTGAATGTGTGGTGACTGTGAGTGGTCTGTGTTCTTATCGCTGGTGGGGTGATGGAGTGGGCTGAAACCATGCACTCTGGAATTTGTTGTGTATTTTCTCTCAGTAAAGCTTCCCCCCCCCCCCCCC